CAACCTTCCCTTATACTCCTAGGCCTTAAAGTCAGTTCTAATCTGAGATGGCGCGAACATATCGAAGATATTATACTAAATTGTAGAAAACGACTAGGCGCCATGTACAGACAATTTAAAGATGCACTCTCTTCAGTTCATCTACAAATTTATAAAACCTACATATTAGCTAAATTAGATTACGCCTGTGCTTTGTATGACACTAGTTTCGCTAATTTAGAAAGTCAACTTGAATCAGTTCAAAAATTAGCAGCCCACATGATCACACGTGATTTTCATTCACCAGGAAAAGCCCTTGTCAAAAAACTAAAATTACCTTTACTCTCCGTGCGTAGGAAGTATTTCCGAGCACCTTTGTGACAATAATCAAGAGGAAAATAAGTTTTGGGACAACGAATTTTAACATCTTTTTCTTTCAACAAAATTTTCACTATCAAAATCACATCCTTACTTTGTGCTCTTGATGGGGTCTGATGCAGCAAATTCTGCGCTTTCTTTCTACATGTAGAAAAATGAGAAAAGAATGGATCCTGTCATTTTTCTCTGAAAAATACGTAGGGGGGAAATTCATTTGGCGCCTACTGTAATTGTAAAGAAAGAAAAAAAAAAGTGAATCACACTAACACATTACAATTTCTATACCTACCCTTTAATATAATCGACCGTTAATAAATTTTATTTACTGATTTTTAAATTTATTAACAAACCTAATTAATTAATAACTGACCATTTAGGTAGCTCACTGATCGATCACTCATTTATTGTACTAATCAATCATTTAATTTACCGATTTTATAATTATTTTACTTACTGACAGCCGAGATGGGCAGCTCCGGCTCCGGAGCCGACCGACTCCAGCCCGGCTCCTAGGAACCGGCTTCTCTTATAAACGGAGCCGGAGCCGGACGGGAAACATTGAACTTGGAGCCGGAGTTGGAGCCGGAGCCGGGGCGTCAAATACTGCGATTGGAGCCGGAGCCGGGCGTGAATTATTGTAATCGGAGCCGGAGTCGAAGCCGAGAACTGTTTGCCGGCTCCGAATTTTTCTCGTTCTGTTAACAATGTGGATGAGCTGACAATGCTGACATTTTCCACATATATTCGCTCTATTTCTCTGTTTACATATATATGTATCGGTAATATCTACATCTTTCTTTTGTTACAAGTGGCTAACTCTCGATCGTCGATCAGATGATAATTTCTTTCTGTCAAGTATTTTCGTATTGTTTTCTCTTGACTTTTTCCAAGCAAAAACCTATCCATATCTTAGTTTGTTAGCTCTTCGGCTTTTAAGCGTACCTGCAACATCAGCGCCTGTCGAGCGTGTGTTTTCTACTAGTGGTTTCGTGATTCGACCACACAGAGGACGTCTCACAAAAGAAATGTTAGCGAAACTAACATTTCTCAAGTGTAATTCTGATCTTCTACATTAGATAGCTTTCATTTGTTATTCATTTCTTTTCATTTCTATTTTCCATATTTGTTGTTAGTTGAAAACCTAGAAAACTCATTAAAAGAAAAACCAAGGAAAAAGATACTCTTTTGAAGTTGGAGCGGACGTCGGAGCCGGAGCTGGGTTTAAAAACATTAGGAAGGAGTCGGAGCCGGATATTCAAAATTGAAGGCAGAGCCGGAGTGGAGCCGGAGCCAGGTATGCAAAAGTGTAGGTGGAGCCGGAGCCGGAAGGGGTCGGAGCTGCCCATCTCTGCTTACTGACCATTTCATATATTTTACTGATCACTTAAATGATAGCCTTTTTCTTGCCCGATCTCATCGGTATACGATAACAAAAAGTACATCTTCAAAATTAACATCGTTGACATGATTTTCTTTTGTGCGTATACTCTGACAACTAAAAGCCAAATAAACAACTGCTAATAAAATAAACAAACATGAAAAAAATTACTTCAGCTACACATAAACACCAACAAGACAACTCAACCTGTCTTAGTTATCTATCAATGAAACTGCTTTATTTGAAACATAAAGTTTATAAATGGATATCACGAGTTATTTGTTTTTCTATATTGAGATGAAGATATTTAATTCAGTAAAGGTTTTGATTTAGAAGTTGTAGAAAAAGTTGTCATGTTTATACTGTAGTACAAATAGTGTCAATATGTTAGTCTTATTTTCTTTTATAAACCGATGCAAACATAAATAACCGAACATTTGAGGAGGTTCTATACGCTGCAAATAATATTGATAATTTCTGTTTGGAAAATTCGAGCAGGTTTCCATTCAAGGAAATTCTATTCGAGAAAACTTTATTCGAGGAAATTATTTTCGAGCAAATGTCCCAAACCCTCTCTGACATCTCATCAATACATCCGAAATAATTAGCATAATGATAATAAAAACTATTTATATATTTTTCATCATTGTTTTCTATTGTAAATGAATTTTATTGATTATTATCGACAATAATGTTAATCATATAAACAACATAAAACAGATAAAATATGAGAACTGAAATAATTTTATTAAAATCAAGCAAAACTACTCGCCTTCTTTGAATGTTAAAAGAAACGTTTGATCTATTCATTTTCAATGGCAAAACGACTAAGAATTCATAAAAATACGACAAATACTCTAAAGACTTGTTTTTATCATTTGAAAAATTTCTTCATAATATATGGCGAGAAAAACTTGATCTGTTAAATCAGTATTTATTCCAGTTAGATTGTTTTATTTATAATGTTTTTGTCTGATTTATATTACAGTGGAAAAACAACGAGCCATGAGTACATATATATAGGTTCAAAAACATCGTAAAAAAACCAATCAAATCCCAAAGAAAAATTTAAATACACAATAACAACTACAAACGTGCAACAAAGAAAGAAACTGTTTTTTTCATTATCGTAATAAAATGTAATTTTCACATTAAAAAAAAAGAATATAATATACAAATTATTTAACGACTATAAGAAGAAAACCAAATGACAGAAAGAAAAAAATTAATATTTCACATTCTTTTGAAATTTATTCACAAACTAAAGACAGATGGTGTTCAAATTATACACTTCCTACCATCACCATCGCCACCACCACAAGAAAATTTGAGTTGATTAAAAATGATCCTGCTAACTAGAATCCTCAATCTATTGTGACTGTTGGGTAAGTTTGAAGGTGTATTGCCTTTATTTCTTGTTTTTATCATGCTCTAAATCCAAACAGTTAGTTCTCTTTAAATTCTAACGGTAAGGTTCTTTCAACGTTCAACAGAATCAAAATTCAACACCATAACATGAACCACGAAGTTCACTCATTAAATTATGTCACGATCAAAATCATTTAATTGTATCTCTTAGAGTGAGAAAGAGTGCATAGAATCTCTTACAGAGTCATCGTCTTACCAAATATTATTTTTCTTCTGTCAAATAAGAAAAAGATCCATCATCCGTAACGAAAAACAAATGTATACAACAATAAAAGAGAAAACAAAACAGAAGAATAAATATGTAGTAAAAAATCACCAGATTACATTTATATATATATTGTGCTTAAAAAGATATACATACTATTTGAAATATATGAAATAAATTAGAGAGAAAAAAAGCAAATAAACACGAATTTATCTCAACTGTTGGCTATTTTAATGTTGTTGGTTGTTACGTTCACATACTGCTACTTTCAAACAATGATCTGAACATTGCCTTCAAACAGAATGAAAGAAAAACAAAAATAACAACAACAACAACGATTAACAGATAAAAAAACAAACGAAAAACATTTTTATTGCAATCAACTTTGTCTATATACTGTAATCGAAAAATAATAATATAATTAAAAGAGAGAAAGTTAATAAATATCAAAAGTCATGAAAACCCACTCACCCATCTATTTACTTTAATACTGAAATAAATGAGGCTGATGTTTTTATAAGGCCACAGAGAAAATAGCATAAATCTAATCTTAACTATTCTCGCAGTGTATAATTCCAGTATGTGTGAGTCACTTATTCTATTCCATCAGAAATCATCAGCAGTAATTGAAATTTTTTACTTTGCGAGCAAATAATTAAAGAAAAGAAATAAGCAACAAGAAAACGTAAAATAAAATATGTGTATATAAAGTATATGTACATATATCAAATATGTGTTTATTAATAAGGAATTCTTTTTTTATGAATATAATTTAAGAGAATAAAAAGGATAAATGATCAACAAAAAAATTTTTAAAACTAACAGAGAGAAGAGAAAACAAACAGCCAGTCAACAACATCAGCAACAGTAAATAATAACAACAGACGAAGTTCGTGTGAAATTGAGAAGAGAAACGAGGCATAGAAATTATGTAAGACGAAAACAAACAGAGCTCAAACACTTGTATGCTTGTTCAGCCAATCATCTCACTGTGTCTTTATACCACCATGCATTGTTGATGTTGTTGTTGTTATACCGCCATATTTTGTGTAGATAAAATTAGCCATAACAGCCACAAATATAGCTAATAGTGTAAAACATATAAATATAATGACAGCCCATTCTTGATCCGTTAATTGACGACTCTCAAACGTTGTGTACGTTTTCATTTTACGTTGTATAAAAGAAATACATTTATTCGATAGACCTGGATTTTTCGTTGATGTTATTGTAGATGATGCTGAATTGGAAGCATGATGGTGAGAAAATGATGATGACGACAACGACGATGACAACAAACGCTCCTGTATCGTATTATTATTCGACGATGTAGAGATATTATGAGGATAATTGTTTGAAGACGAACGATTATTTAATGATCGCTGCTGTTGTTGCTGTAATAATTCATCTGGACGAGGCAATATAAAATGGGTTACAGGACTATATGAACCATTTAATAGAATGCCTTCATTCGTCACACGTATTGCACATACACGAACATAATAATCAATACCTGGTTCCAAATTCGTTACACGATAAGATGTCATTTCACCCTTGTACAGCTTTAATTAGAAAAAAAAATCTCGAACATAGGAATCTTTTATAGGAATAACAACAAAGAATAGATTATTTAAGCTTAATATGAAAATGATATATCGTTGAATCAAAAAAAACTAAAACAAATCTAAAGTAATGTCCTTCCTGTCATAGTCTATAAAAGTCTTTTCTCAAACTGTAGTAGTAAAATTGCGCATTAACCCTTTACTTCCCCGAATGGCTCATATTTGACCCATTCGAAAACACTCATAATAAAAGTGAAAAAGCATCAGATCAAAAGGCTAATCAAGTATAATGTATGCAGAATTTAGTAAACTATCCTCATTCGTAAAAAAAATTAAATAAATTCCTTTGAAAACATGAAAAATAGAAGTTCCACAGCAGTTTTACTTCATTGCTGTTCAATTCTCCTCAGGGGGTAAAGGGTTAACTGTTTTATTCTTGATTTAAAATAGGTTTTGAAGAGAAAAGTCGATGTGTATTTTTTTTTAATGATAAGACTGATTTTGAAGGTAAAGACTGTACAACATGAAATATATCTTACTTCTGAATAATCGTTTTCTCGTTTTTGTTCTTGTTTTTGTAATATATAACTAATTCCGTCTTTTCCTAACGGTTTATGTGATTGCCAATTAATAAGGCATGATGTACTTGATATATCAGTTATATATGGTGCTAGAATAAAAATGAAATCATGATTGAAAAAAAATTCTAGAATATGAAATGTTTCCCACTAAAATACCTTTCAAGGCATTTGGCGGTGCCTTTGTTGTTGAGAATGTATAAACTTCTGACCATGGCCCAGAACCCGTTTCATTTCTGGCACATACACGAAAATTGTATGGCGTAGATTCTAGTAATTTATTGATTTTATATGTATAACTAGTACCAGTATAAATTGAATTAAAACTAAATATACAACGTTTCTTTAAAATGATATTGAAAGAAGAAGTACTGGTTATACAAACATACATTCCGTCTTTTCCTTCCATTTCTACTGTATATGTGATTAGTTTTTGATTGTTGTTATTGTTGTTGTAGTTGGTGGTGGTCACGGTATTAGAAGTGTTACTGTTATTTGTGTTACTATTAATTAGCGTATCCATGAGTATGGATGGTGGTGTAGTAGTAGTCGGCACAATTCTATTTTGTAATTGTTCACTATTGCCCCACTTTAGTTTTAACGAATTACATGTTACTACTATACATTCTACACGTGGAGGGTCTGGTGGTAAACTTTTTGTTGGACTAAAATCAAACAAACGAAGCCGAATTATAAGATGACCTAATCGAATAGAAAATGTGTTTCATTTACCATTTCACTGTTGATGAGAATGGTCCAGGACCAATATTATTGACAGCTCGTACACGTATTCTACAAGATGTAGCACAACATAATTTTCAATTAACAATGAATATCAACAGATTGATAAAAATGAACTAAGAATCATCCAAAGAAGACTTTTCAATCATCTTTAAACAACGAACAATATTTCACCTGTATGTAGTATCTGGTAAAACTTCATCAATTGTATATTCAGTTAATTCTCCAACAAATATTAATTCCTTTTCTCCAATGTCAATATAATATCCGGTAATTGGTGATCCATTATTCGCTGGCACTTTCCAACTTAATGAGATAGATGTTGATTTTGCATGTGCTTTTACTGATGTAACAATAGAGGGACACGTTGCTGGTGTCATGCAGGAAGCAATCGCCGTATATGGACCTTGTCCTGCAGAATTCACTGCCTAGAAAAGCATTTAATCAATAGATTAATCAATCATGATCAAACCATATAAATTATCTACCTGTACACGAAAACAATAAAGTGTTGCCGGTACGAGACCTTTTGCTTCATAAGAAATATTTGGTCCACAATATAACTGTGTGAAACTATCTCCTTCTTTTCTTGACCATTCCAGTCGATATTCTGTTATGGCCGCACCATTATTAACTCCTTCTTCCCAAGTGATTATTGCACTGTTAACAGCACGACATTGGACGAGAAAATTTCTTGGTGCATCAGGAACACCAGGACCAGATAGAACATCCAAATATTCGGACCATGGACCAGCCTAAAAAGATGAGAACGATGAAACAGAGAATTAATTTTTGTTTATTGATACTCACGCCAGCTTTATTAAACGCTCGAACTTGAAATAGATACGGTCGCCCTGGTAGTAGAGCCGTTACTGTACATTCTAAATCTTTTCCACGATAAACAAGTCTCGATGAATTATCAGGATTTGTTATTTGTACTTCGAAATCAATCACAGTTGCACCGCCATCATAATCTGGATATGCTACAAAAAAATTCATAAAATTATATAGAAAAAGGTGTTACGAGATGATTAAAAAAAATCATACCCCAACGAAGATGTAAAGAATTGGCCTTTGGTTTTCCAAATACTCTAGGTGGATGACAAGATGCTGGAGCCACAGCTGGTGTTTGAATTTTTGTTATATCTGATAAATCACTTTGACCGCCCACACTCGTACAAAATACACGTAATAAATAGGTATGACCAGGTATTAACTGTTCTAGACAATGTTCAGTTTCTAAACCATTGTATATCATATGAAATCCTAAAAAGGAGAAAAAAACATCTATAATAAATATTCCGATAACAGCAGAGAAAAGAATTCTTTCCAATCTGGAATCTAAATGATAAACGAGACAAAGAGAGAAAAGAACAAGAAATTGTACAAAACTGAAGCAACGAAGAACCTGATAATCTTCACAAACTGTAAAAAAGTTGGACTTTTCAAGCACAATTATATATATATATATAACATATGTAATGAACGAAGACAAGTACTTTCTACTCAAATAAGACAATAATAAACAACGACTATCTTACGAACCGTCATCAGCTAAAGAATATGACAATGTAATACATGTCTAGGAACAAAAAATGATAATCGACATACCTTTTGCTTCTTCTAATTCTAAATGATATCGTTGAATATCCGATCCACCATTATCTCTCGGGGGATCTGAAATAAAAACATAACATACGGAGTGAAGAAAAGAGTTCAAATACATAATATTACAACTAACCCCAAGTAATTCGACAATATGTTGGTTGAATCTGTCCTTTTGTACGGGGTTTTGATGGTGGTAATGGTCGATCAGGCAACGTTCGAAAAGCTACAGTCCGTGAATAATTACTTTGACCTTCTTCATTGTTAGCTGCCAACTAAAGAGAAAAAAAGTTTTAAGATGCCTAAAATAAGATTCAGTTACGAGTGTAAATTTACGCGAAATTTGTATTCCGTATTTCGATATAAATCCGTCACTGTATAGGATAAATTCGAACCCATATATTTATTTGAAAAATAATTTGATTCATCATTCATTTGCAATGTGAATGCTTCATCCATTTGACGTTTAATCCATGTTAATGTTAAAAATTCAATTCCTTTTCCACCCAGCATAGGAGGATCTGGCTCAGGTGGAATCGTGCCTATTGTACTGAATTGAGCTACATCACTAAATTCACTATATTTAACAAAAAAAAAAGGAGATAGTATTAATCGCAAAGACACTGAGTTATACAAATACCTTCTTCCAATACTGTTTTCTGCTGCCAAACGAAATGAATAAATTGTTGCTGGTATTAATTTAGTAATCTTAAACTGTTTTTTCACACCACGATATATTTCAGTATATTCACGACCTTTGCCCTACGATAAAAATTATACTCATTGCTTACAAAACCTGCAACAACACTAATACAAACTTACTTCATCATATTCCAATATATAATTTAAAATTTTCGATCCATTATCAATAGCTGCCTGAAAATGAGAAATAATGAAAAAAACAAACATTTTTGAATTTCTTTTCTATCTATCAACTTACACTCCATTTTAAATTCAATGCGCTTTTTGATCTTCCACCTAATAATTTTGGTGGCAATGGTCTATCTGGCTCACATGATTCAGTCACAAATGATACTGGATTTGTATATTCACCTTTATAAGCATTAATACAGGCACATACTCTAGAAATAGACAAAAATCATTTTTGTTTTTCATACAGAAAACTATTCAAACCAAAATCAGTTATATTTGTTACTCATAAACACGTAAGTATTTACGAGGTATGGAAGTGTGCTAAGTGAAATATCCACAAGTCCTTACTGAATAATGTTACAGGTAATACGTTAATTTACGTTAAGAATCTACTTCTGAAAAATATTGTTCTCATTGCAGACATACTTGAGATGGTATTCCGTCGCTGGTTTCAAATCTTTCAATGTAATTTCACTTGCATCACCACTAAATTATTCACATATTCTTATTACTCTAACAGAAAATATCATTTATTATCTTCAATGACAAACCTGTACACTTGTTTGTATTTAGCATCTTTCCCCTTATCTGACAGTAATAATTCATAACCTAAATTGGTAAAATCGATTTGATAATCATCTTGTTGTTGTGTTGAGGATGATGTTGTGGTAGTAGGTGTTGATGATGATGATACAGAAGACGATGAAGATCTTGGCGGTTGTAATCGAACTAAAGCGCTACGACTTTCAATATCTTGCACCTTAAACGAAATACAAAAATAACAATGTGATTGATCATTATACGTAAAATGAGAGCTTTTAATAAATTTGAGTAGTCAGGCGATTATAACAAGATAATTTTTTTCTTTTATTAGATCTCACTTTATTCATCAAGTATCCTCGAATCACGCTTATTTTTGTTACTATTCGATTTTCTTCACTATCATCTTGAATGAGAACTTATTGAATTCTCTATAATTGTAGTTTTTCGTTATCAATGTCTTATCCATGCGTCATAACGTTCGGCTCATCAAATTTCAGTGTATGGTTCCATTTTGTTCGCGTTCTCAATCGTCTACGTGTTGTTATTAGCTTGTTGTTCTATGCTGATATCCGCATTTTTTTTCATATTTATAAAAAATATACTCATGCTGACATTTAATGTCATAGACGATTCAACAGTATTGATATTATTATCTTTCATTTATCTTCTCAAATGTTGATCAATTGTTTAATGTTTCTTAAACATTATTCGACATTTAATGTTTTTTAATAATTTTTTTAAAATTTTTGTTTGAATATAAACGATTCAGTCTCCAAATAATTAACTATCGATTTGATTATATTCTTTGAATGATTTTTCTTTACTTGTTGTTGTCATTATTTTTCTATACCGATTGGTTTGTTCAGTTAATCTTCTCGAATATTCATCACTGCTAACCAACACATTTTTTCAACTGTTCTAATTAATTTTTTTTTTCTATAAATTCTTATTATTTTAATGTCTAATAATATTTTTTAATCGAATCTTTTGATATCTTGATAAACATGTATCCCGTTTTAAGTATAAATTTGCGTTTATTCTCTGTCGATATATATTATCGTTTCGAACGTTTTAAAATAGCATTTGATTTTAAAATAAGTTCTCATTCAAAATCTCAGTGTTCTGAGTGAAGAAAGTCGATAACACTGAGAAAAATGAGTCACTCGATTTAGTGGAATTGTTTTTAATCATGTTTGTTTAACTTTAAATTTTAGAGAATTAATTTGCGATGAAAAAAAAATGTTTCTTGCTAAAAACAAGTACACAATTTCAATCGGCTATAACCGATGGATGCCTAGTTATAATCACTTAAATATTTAAACAAATGTGATAGAATTTCAATAATGTGAAAAAATAATTTTGTTTTTAAATAACATACATTTGGTGGAGCCAAATTTGATAGGCCTTCCTCGATTGTTTGTCGTTCTTTATCATATTCACATAATTCTGGTTCTGGCGATATATTGCTGGCAATCATTTCCGGTGAATAATAATGTGAATAATGTTGTTGTTGTTTATCACTTCCGTCTAAAAATAGGTGCAAAATAAAAAAAATACATAGTAAACAAAACTTTTTTTTCTGTTTTTTTTTTTCTAGCATCATATTTTCTCTTAGTATAGACAATGGCAATCTGATGGATGAAGAAGAAGTGTATTTAAACATATTTGGCGATAACTTTTAACGAGAAAGATGCTCAAAAGGGTTACTGCTATCCGATTTACATTCATTTCACTGTTATATTAATTATTTGTTATAAAAAATAATCATTTTGTTTTATCATTTATTTAAAGACAAATGTAGGAGTATGAGAGTAGAAAGACTGATAAAATTGATCTTTTATTTGTCATAAAACAAAGAAAAAGAAAAAACACAAAAATAGACAACATTTTATTATTATTTGTCTTTCTTTATAAGACATATGTGTGAACCTATGAGTGAATAATTCTTCGTCTATTGGCGCGAATTATCTTTCTATAATAAATATAATTTATCATCACTCGTTTATCACACACATATACTACAGTTCATAAAAAGAAAAGAAAATCTTCGTGTGTCTACTGTTATTTAAAGATGACCACTTAAAATATGTCCTTTCAACTCACAAATGATGAACTTCAGAGAAAATGTTTGTTACTCATTTATGAAGCAAAATGAATAAAGAACAAAGGTATTTGATCAAATATATATTTTGAACAATAAAAGTTAATATGTGAAAAGTAAGAAAAGGAAACGTTTTTTTTGTAAATTTCAAAAGCTTTAGACAAACAAATTTGTTGTAAAAAATAATTGTTATACTAAAATCGTTCCAGCTCGTTAAAATGAGAGGATCTTCCTAAAATTTTCTACTATAGTTCACCAGTTTCAAGAGTTGATTTATATACGAACTTATCAGAAAGCTGTCAGCCTGTGAAAGTGAAATTACACAAATATCTTTGACAGTTGTTTTCTGAATATCTAACTAAACTATCGTGGCAATTCCTTTCCTCTGTAAGGAGAATCCATTTCTAAGCAGAAGACTTAATATTTTTTGAATAATCATGGATATAAGACAGATTAACACCTAAGCTTTTGAACTGTTTATAGCCACAATATGATTTGATTGACTAAATGGAAAAATCACAATCAAAGTATCATCAGCATGCAGTTAAACGTTTTCAGTCTTCAAAAGACAAATTTGCCATCCTAGATTCTTCCATACTAATATATATATGTTCCCTATGGCTGGTGATAGTTCAAACTTTTGCTTACATAAACATCATCAACCGTTAATTCGCTGGAAGGCTCAGTTTTTCGCATGCCTTCGAATTGGGTATCAGTTTATCTCAAAAATGAATAAAACATTAGATTATCCATTCTGACTCTCGTGACAATGTTTGTTTTATGATAAAAGGAAAAAAATCTCGTGCAACCGGTTCTAAGTGAAATATCCGATTTTAGGTTGTTTATGTCGACAATTAAAAAATGCCTGTTGTAATCTGAAAAATAACACGAAATACACCAACAAATATCGTCAAGATCAATTGACCTTTTGAAACGCAAAACAAAGGGGTTAAAAGATTGATTAGATAATTTATGCATACTGCAAAGTTTGCAGTGTTTGCAGTGCAAACATCTCTATGTGGTATCTTTTTCCGTGTATGTGGATCCTGTGCTTTGTAGTTTTTCCTTCTAAAAACATTCTTTATTCATTCAAGTCTTATGTAGAACATATTTTACAAAAATTTTGAGCATCTATTACGATGCTTAAAATGATAGATGCTCTGCTTTTTATTATTCAGTATAAAATGACTTTAATCAATATGGCAAAACATTTCTATGAAGTTAGAAGTAGTATCGTTTACTTACTCATCGATCCACCCATATTTACATATGAATTATTGGGTATTCGACGTTTTTGTCCAGTGTTCATTCGATTATTATTTGAATTTGTACAGTTATTGTTATTATTATTATTATTATTATTGTTATTGTTATTATTATCATAAGCCGGTGAACGACGTTGATTCGTTGTTGTACTCGTTCCACTCGTATCATTTGGATGTAAATGACATGATGAAGCAGCTAAAAAAATTGAAATCTATTTTTATTTTGAAATAATGTTTTAATAATACAACTTACGATTTGGTGGTGAAACATGATTACATGGTCTATAAGGTTCTGGATATCCAAGTAGTGGATTTTGATATTGATGATAGATACCATTATATGGTGTTTGAGGATAACCGGGATGTACATGATGATGTGGTTGTGTTACTGGATGATGATGTTGTGACAAAATAACATGTGTTAAAATTCCATTTTCATCTAATAATTGTTGAACCATATGACCAGGTGGTAAATGTAATGGTAGAGGAAATGCAGGACCATCATTCGATATCATTCTCACTGTAGCTGGACCTAAATTTTACATATAACAATAAAAAACATTTGTTAAATAACTGAATATTTATTTTGTCGCAAGCACGACTGTTACAAAGTAAGACTAGCTTGTATTAATGCAACACCGAAAATAATGACTAATGTACTAATTAACTCAACAGCTTAATTTTTGTACATTTAAAGAAATTAGAAATCTTAACAATCAAATTACGTTAAAAAGCTAAGCTTAGGGTTTTTTTTATGATGTGTGATATAGCAATATTAAACTCACGTTTATTTTGTCTGCATAAAAAAAATGAGAGTCAGACTGTATGAGAAAATTATTTTTCTTTTTTGTTCTTCACTTCTGATAAGATTTCAGTGCAGAAAAAGAGAAAGCAGGAAAATAATAAGTGTGGATGGCTCTATGTATTATGCCGATAATGAACATATTGTCAAAGTCTTAGTATACATTGTTTTTTCTCAAGACGGTTTGGATGCGCAGGTAACCGCAATGAATTAAGAAATTACTCATTTAAAGAATTTTCTAGCATGTTTTGGACGTGTCTTTCTATCAAAATAGAATAGTATACCCGATATCACTAAAAACTTATCTATGAAATTTCAAGCAGATTCGACGATTGTAAAATCGAAGACAATAGCTAACTGCTCGAATCGAGAAGCAAACCATAGTGAAAGACTAGTCACATTGAAAAAGTCGTTAGCTCAAGTTCAAGTTCAATTTATTTAGCACATGTAAAGAGATTCTCCTGACATTTTTGAATACGTGATATCGATATTTTAGTGGAATTCTAATTTACAGACAAAAAAAGACATCCTATACCTGTACACTGCATTCAGAAGGTAAATAGGTTATCCAAATATATATTTTTTCAATGTAAACTAGTACTTTTTTTTTCTTAATGTTTTCTGTTCTAGTTATGTCGTTTTTCATAATACATATATATTCAGGTGATAGCTTACAAACAGGACACACATATACACGCATACGTTTTTTTATTCCGGTAAATATGCGACACGTTTTATAGTCTGTAAAATAACCAATTGGAGAACGATACGTTTATCAAAAAGTAGATGTGTCATGTAAGTGGGTATGGTTCCACTTGTTGAAAAAATGTTTCCTAAGAGATTTTTAGACGAGAACAGAGAATAATACATCTTTTGCTTGAGAAGCAAAAAAAACCATAAGCAATATTTTTATAATTAACATAAATAAACTATTGTACTTCGAACTAAAAGACACTTGGATAGTTTACAACTGAATTTATTTAAATGTTTATTTTTGATAAAATATGACAAAAAAGAAAAAAAGTCAATGATTTATCAACCACTGTGAACCTTGGTTTTTTTATCTTCAAATTATGACTATATCGACTTAACGAAAACGCCTATAAGTAATTTAATTAACAAAGTAAAGTAACGGGTATGATATCGCGCCATCATATAAAAAATTCTATTCTTCTCTTTTATCCGTTCATTGATAACTCAATATACTACAAAGCAATAATCGTCATCACTTTTCTATATTAGTATTAACGGATTCAAGATACCCTATACTAGTTCCAGAAACTCCTCAAATAACATCTGGAAACATTGCATTATAAAGATTCTATCGAGAGTTGACAAAATAAAAGAAATTATCGTCAGATTTTTTGTTAAATATACAGACACTCTGAACTGAGAGGAAAACATTGAAAGTTTGATGTTTCTTCTATGACATGTAAGATCACAGAACAGAACGATGACTGAACAGTGCTAGAGACTCCTTGTAAATTACAGGGTATTCAATTTGAAATTCCTAGAAAAACTTAATAAAGTCTCATGAAAAACAAAAACCTTCATTAGTTTCTTCCTTCAAGATTTCATCAGGTATTATAGTCTAAGGAATCGTCTAGTTTCAGAAAAGTAAAACAAAAAGAGATAGTTACAATGACGTAAGTAATATACAATGAGAGAAAGAGAGAAAGCATATGATGATGGTGTATAAAAAGGAAATTTTCCCAATGACGTGTGTGAAGTCTGTTACAAACACAAATTATCAAGAAGAAAAACCAGAAATGTCGTGTATAAAAATCATTTATGAATACATACAGATATTTCTTATTTGTTATCTAATATCGATTAAAAGTACATTTAGGATAAAATTCCTTTGCCTTTTCTCTTTAATGTACTATAACATTTGTTGTCGATTTTTTGGCAGTTCGGTATACTTTGGTGATCTTACAAACATTTTTTCAACCTCTATATCTCAAAAAACAAAATATCATACTATACAATAGTTTTCTCGATTTACAATAATAATATAAAAGTTTTTAAAAGTTTTAAACATAAATCATATGAAAAAATACTTAAAGTAGGTCAACATTTCTGTCTCATCAAGATAGATTTTAACGTAGATAAGACAACTCTGATTTTTCATAACTTATTCTTTCATAGATCAGTCAAAAATACCTGATTATATAATAAAAATGCAAACAAATCAATTTGTACATAGTTATTTTTCTTTTTCTCCATCATATTATAATTAATAGTACAATTAACACTAAACCATACTGTCATATATAAAATGCAAAGATATAACGACTACGATCTGTCACCTCACAAATAATGTGATAAAAGTTCAAAATAAAAAATAAAAATAAATTACTAAAAGTTCTGCTTTTGTCTTCTTTCTCACTCGTGACTTATTTTATGATCCTACGCAAAGAATAAGTAACCTTCAGGGTTCATGACAAGAAAAAAGAAAATGTCCATTAAATGTCAACTTGCGCCCTGATTGTAAATACACATACATTCTAGAAACAAAATGTACTGTATATTGTTGACCTTATTATAAGTTTGAAATTTTTGGTTTGAATAAAAAACAACTTTTGAAAGATAATTGATCACCAAGTTATTGGTAAAACGAGATGCTACTATTCTTCATGCTTTTAAAAGCATTTTTCAATCTTTCTACTTTTAACAATCAGTTTTTGATTCGCTCTTATGTAATCAAGACGTGAGAAAGAATGAAGTATTCAACTTCTATCGGTGAAGTGAACCGAGAGCACTTATCTCAGAAGTAAAGATGTGTAAAACTAAAAACAATACTATATATACGAGTTTAACCTTTCTTTACAAAAATCTTAACGACAAGTGATAGTTTTTATAATTTTGTTCGTTGACCCGAGACCATGACTAAAACATCTTGGTTCTGGTCCTTGCATATGTGCTAAGAAGGTCAAAAAAATATTTTTATATGTAATTTTTTTTTTTAATCTATTTTTCGATTTGTATGACCTACACAATGATACACATTGTACATATTTTCATCTTATAACACAAAAAAACTGTGCGTACTCATCGTAAAATAATATTTAACCACGCAAACATTATAAAATAAAATCAATAGTATTTCCAAACATACTTTGTGATGGTGTAACAGTACCAGCATTTAACCACGAATAAAGTGGATCATTTGGGGACAATTGAGATGACGATGAACAGGACGATTGAGCATAATGCCCATTGGTCATATGAATATGATTATTCCTACTACTGTTATTACTATTATTAATCTTATCATTAAAATCTGTTCTAGAATTACTATTGTTCACTGTATTATTTGTTTGCGTTATTAACGTTAGTCTATCAGAATATTGTGGTGGTTGATAATAAGATGGAAAATAATTTCCATTTGTTAATAGTTTTTTCGTTATACCATCAATTGATGAGGCTGATGACGATGATGTTGTCGATGAGCAAGTTGATGACGTTTTTACATAATTATTATCATACATAATTTAAACTATTAAGTAAATCATTCTTAAAAAAAAATATAACAAATCTGGCAGTGCCATTTTTTATTATTATTATTTATGATATTAGCTGTGGTAGAAACAAAATTTTGACAATATGCAGAGACAAACAAAAAAAAAAAAAATGAGAATATCTGAATATACTCAAACTACCTTTTGACAGGATGCCCGCTTTGCTTTTCTGCATTTCTTCCGTTTTTTTTCTCTTTCTCTGACTCACAAAAAGTTATTAATCGTCACTGTATTTTTAGTGCATTCGACGATCATAGGTCGACGTCCGTTCTGTTGTACAATTTCCTTCTTCTGTACAATAACAATAAAAAAAGAAAAAAAAGAACGGAACAAACACACATCTCCCTCTCTGTATAGAGATGTATGTACCAAAAGTTTTAAAAGAGATTTTCTCTCTCTCTCTCTCTCTCTCTTTTCAGCAGTAGCAAATGAAAGAACGATTCGTTTTTTTTTATTTTCATTTCGCTAACTCTACACATAAATATATAAACAAATATATGTACATACGTACATAAGATCTACTCCAAAACAAACATTTTTCAAGATACATATAATGGATAGATAAAAAAGACCTCGTTTCATTATCAATAATATACGTTATAAATGCATAAAACCCCATTCTTTACGCGTATGTGTGTGTGTATGGACGTTGTGGTGGTGTATGTACGGATTATTGGAAAAGAACTTTGTTCTTTTTTTTTCTCCTCCTTCTTCTCAAATCAAACATCAATGGAGATACACTAAGTTGAACAACTTTATTTCCCGATTTATAAATAATATTGAACTTAACAGTTTTGTCTTACACAAAAATAAAGATTGAGAATTTATTAATAAACTTTATCTAAAACAGGCTATACCAGAAATTGGCAGAGTCAAGATTTTTTTTTGCCCGACGAAGAAAGGTTGTGGTCTGGTTCTTTTCAATTTTTTACAAATTCTTGCACTTTTAATGCTCTTTTCACCGACAAACTGGTGTAACTGTACTTCTAACACAAGTCTAACATTTATATTTCCATGAGTTATTTGTCTTTGTGACCACAACAGCTCCTTCTGCCCCCAATACCCAATAAAAAATTTGAGTCCGGTCGGACGAAAAAACGTTTTGATCCAAGCCTGATCATCCCTAGAACTCTTCCAGAGAGATCTGTGCTGATCTCTGCGTTTTACTGCAACAGATATCAATCATTTTCTCTACCTAGAAGTCAAATTCTGTCTCTTTTTTTACTTTATTTTTCAACTAGATTCGATTTCTGTCTGGTATTTAAACCAAAAAATTATTACGCTTTTTTTTTTTTGATGTTGAAACCACAAGCGCTACTGGCTTAAAAATGAACGATTTTAATGAGATCTGTAAAACCTTCATTATGTAGACTAAATTTATTTGTACCAATAAAATTAATTATGCATCAAATCAGTTAACGAGTTGGATGATATCATAATAAAGTTGTACTAATATTAAATGTAAATGAATAAATATCTTGTCATGTTTTGTATGAAATTGTTTTGCAGTAATATGAAGCATATCGATGTTGAATTCTTGCCACATTGTCAACCAAACATACACAAATGTATGTATAATTCAATAATGTAATTTATAACAAATAGACAACGTTCTATCTCGATACGTTTTGAACTTGTCACGTTTCTTTTCTTTTTTTTGTTAGATGACAAAAAAAATAAACAACGCATGTGTTTAGAGATAGAATAAAAACGAGAATCATTATCCAAAAGATATTATATATCATTCAATCTTCACTTGAGCACGAGAAACATGATATTAATCAACAATCTTACCGCAATGCATAAAGTACTATGAAATATTGGAGAAATTCAAAAAAGTCTAATCATTATAATATAACGTTATTTTTTTATAATATAATAATATTACTCTATCAAAGCCACAAATATGACCGGAAATTTAAGCTAAAAAAAATTTATCGTATATCGAAAATAAACTCCCAGCAGACATCGCGACAAATTATTATTCACTAATGAAGCCGAATAATTTGCTGATTTTTCTCGTTTTTCTTTACAATTCAACATTTGAATTTACACTCAAAAAAAAACGAAATGAAGTCATACATAGATAGTGAAGGTTATTACTTAAATAAATACTCCACGCACAGATGAAAGTATTGATGAAGACAAAAATTATAATAGAACAGCGCGAAAAAAAAGAAGAGAAATTGTACGTAATCAATCAACGATGTATATTTTTAATTTTTTTTTTTTAATGTATTCTTCAGGTGCTTAGTAATAGTATTCTCTTCTTTTTACCGAAATCGCTAAACTCTTCCTCCTTCACAGAAATTATAAAATAAATAAAAAAAGTCAACATGTGGATGATAATTAAAAGTTAAAATAAATCTTACCGTGCACTTCTTTCACTTCATTATCAACTTGTACACGAAATATTTGTCCAGGTTTAACAAGAATTCGAGCAACAGATGGATTCGATGTTGTTGGAGGTAGTTCGGATGAGGTTGTTTCGGTTATTGACGGAAGGGTAGTTGTCGAAGGTAGAGTGTCAGTTGTTGTTGTTGTTGTTGCTGTCGTTTCATCTATGACTGTTTTTACTTCATCGGCGACTGTTTCATCTTTTATTGATTCTTCACAATTAGAAATAGCTAAAGGTGTTATTGTAGCAATAGTTTCATCTGTGGTAGGAATAACATCATTCTCATTTGTTTTTAATTCATCTTCATGTTTTAGTGGTTGTATACGAGATTCTTGTTGCGATGAGGAGTTTTCTTGTTGTTGTTTGTCCTCTTGTTCGTCTCCGTTCACATATTCATCTTGTTCTCCATTATGATTTGTTATTTGAATTGAATCATAATGATGATGATGATGAGATCGGTGTTGATCAAAATTCATTGATTCAATTGTAGCCATTCAACATAAGAATAAAAATTAAAAATATAAATTAATAACAAGCATCGAAATTGATGTTCAATTTTGTAAGATTTGAGGAATAAGTTTCACATAATAACACAGCTTATATCTGAATCAACAGAAGAGAGAAGAACACCATTGGCCGGCAATGATAAACATCTAAAAGTAAAAAGAAAAACACATTTTTCTCATTACTTTTAAGCAATTAAACCAGAAGTGAAAATAAATTGTTTTTACAAGAACGAACAAGCAGGTATTGGGTTGTTTTTATTTTTTTTAAACAAAATATTAATAAGGATGTTTTTAGAAAAGTGCACCGCAGAGAATTAAACAACATACTTAAACATTTTTTTTCTACTGTACAATTCTGTATTTCATCTGTGCAATATCGATTAGTTTTATTCGTTTTCTAGCCTTGTACTTGATTGATTAGTCCTAATAGGGCGAAAATATTAACAATAATAATAAGTTGGGCTTTTGAATGAAATAATAATTTTTATTCACACTACCTTTTGTTTGAGACGCGACTAGAGTCTATATATTGTGTATGTGTGTGTGTGTGTATATATATATCTTATATAAGAAATGATGAAATAAAAAAGAAGAAAAAGCTGAACTTTAACTTAGACTAGAATTATACCTCTTCGCATTTCTAAAACTATTCTATATCGAAATATAAAACTTTTGTCTTCTTCCTATTTATATACATTAATGAAAAGAAATAGACAATATGTGAAGAAAATCTTTTTTTCCTCTTTTTTTTTTGTTACAAACGGTATAGAGTGACAATAAACAACATAAAAAGTTCTGTGTTTCTTCAAGTCGCTCTCTACCAATTAGACGCAAAAAAATTTCTTCATATTTTTGTGTGCAAGATCTATATATAAATATATATATATATATATATATATATGTGAATAGTACGTGATGCGACGCTGTTTGCTTTTGCCAGAAGAGAGTTAGTAAAAATAAAAAAAAGAACAAAAACAAGAATGAGTAAAAAGGAAAAAAAAAATGAGAGAAGAAAAGTAGAATTTCTAGCATCTGTTGTTCTGTTTGCATTAAAAAGAAAAAGAAAACTCGGGGTTTTATTATAGTCTACAAAGTTTTCAACACATGGAACTTCAATGCACATATAGAAAATCTTGTCATTCAAAAACAAATGTTAGAATTGAAAAATGAGAATGATTAATGTGTTAACCAAATTTCGATTTCTTCATACGGTATTAATGACGTTTCTTATCGTTATTAAACTAATGATCACTTAAATGTAAAGTAGTAACTCGATATAAATTAGGAAATAGTACAATTTTCGAACGGATGCAGTAGATTCTTTGTTTCTTACAACTACTAATAATTTTTCTTCTAGCGTGTAAAATTCTCATCTGATTTAGTTTTTTTCTTCCTTCGGCATTAAATAATTAAATGTTTTTCTATTCAAAGTCATTTATCTCGTTGAAGAAAAAAATCTCATTTTCAAAATTTTCCCGTTCATACTTTTAATAGACGGTCTCTATTCTCAAAACTAGATATCGAACTTTTATTCTCTCTAACCTACACCTACAAATGACATTTAAGAAAATAGAGTAAAATTTATAACTGAAAAAACTAGAGATTTTTCAATTTTTTTAAGCTTTTAAAATAAAATGAATGTGACATCTGTTAGCTTGTTATATTTAACACTTCTTAGAAACAGATGTACACTTTAATATTTCCAGTAGTAGCTCTTTTATTATGAACTTTTGCTCAACAACAGTTAATTCAATGTTCATCATAATTCTTTTTTTTGTTAAGCAACTTTAGATTAAATTTGGAGCATGAAGAAATTTTGAGACACTTGACATTTTAACTTCGAAGTTTATTCTGACAAGATACTTTTCAACAATGTTTCTGTCAATCAATCAACTTGTTATCATCTGAAAAACAATGGAGTGTTCATCGAGTTCTTAAAGAACAATTAATATTCGTATTGTCTGATATACAAATTGACAAAAGTCGGTATCATTTAAGACACAACGAACTAAAACGAGTAATGCAAAACTTCTAAGATTAAATATTTAATTCTTATCCACAAGATAAGATAAGTTTAGAAGCATTTGAAACAGAATCGGTTGAGATTGTTTTTAAAAATTGTTTATCGTGTATCTCACCGGAAAAATGAGCCAAACTTTGAAGAAAATCTCTGAAATCTATTTTTAGCGAATTATTTTTATCATTCATACAGTACGCTTGACTTGAACAATTTTTTTTTCTGCATCAGGTCAGACATGGGCGAGTCCGAGTCCGAACTGGAAGATTTTTTGGCGGACTCGGACTTGAGTTTTTGTATTTCGAGTCCAATCTATTCAACTTTTAACACAGATGAACAAAGAAAAATGAAAAGTGACATAACAACACCTTCTGTTTCACAAAAACTTGAAAATTTTGTTCGGGAGACGGACATACAAAGTAACGTTACTTTCTAAAAATCAAATATCTATCCAGGGCTCAGTAAATTAAAAAAGAGAAATAAACCACCCTCGTCAATAAAGAATCTAAAAAAAATACCGGACTCGAAATGAACTTGGGACTCGGACTCGCCCTTAATCCTTTAATGTTAAGGACTCGGACTCGGTACCCTCTCGAATTCGCCCATGCCTGTATCAGGTTGTAGACTTTTCTATATAAACTTTTCTATACAAGATGGATGTATTTTAAAAATTTTGTGTACTGTAGAAAAGGTCAAATTTACTGTGTTTAAAAAAGACGAGGTTTTCAAAATTCTTACTTTTTGATTCTTCCAGAAGTTGCTTAGAAACTAGCGATCAGTAAAATACTTATATTTCAACTATCTGAACATGTTTTGTCTATTTTAGATACGTCATTTTTAAGATAAATGTTTACTATACAAAATAATCCTTAAAACTGTCGCATCACCCATTATTTCTCATAAATAGATAGTCTATTTCTACAGATTGTCTCTTACATGAGATTAAAGCCATTTAAATACGATTTCTCATGAATATTATTATAAAGCAATAACATGCACATGCTCAAAACCTATTAAACATTTTATTGCTTCAGTGTCGAAAACGATTCGTTATTAAAAATCGGTTAACCAAAAACAAAAAAAAAACAGTCATTTACTCTTACCTGAAGAGCGATATTCATAAAAAAAATATAAGACACTAAAAAATTTTTCTTCTGCACAAATGAGTGAGTTTTGTTTTCTTTTTTTTTTCTCACATATTTATTGCTTGATCATTTAAATTAATATATGAAAAGAGAAGATAATAGAGTAACAACAATAAGAACAAAAAAAAAAAAGAAAAGCAAAACATATTAGGAGGAGAGTGGGAGTGTTCTCGCATGCAAAAACTAATACTCTATCAACCAACAGTATTATTATTATTATTATTATTATTATTAGTATGAAGTAAAAACTGAGTGGGAATTTTAGCATAATTTGAAATAAAACAACAAAATAATCAATGCATTCAATTTAGCTCAAAAACATTATAGTAGTAGGAACAATAAAAAACGAGGTTTAATCTAGTGGTATGCATAGGTACACACGCACTCACACACATATATATATATATACATATATATATCGTCACCAGAAATAACAACAACAATAATAATAATAAAAAAAAAAATCAAATCAAAAATAAATCCTTTTTATACATTACGAGAAATATCATCTGGTATCAAATCAAAGTATATATCTTTATGTCAATATTATTATTGAGATTTTCGTGTCTTAAAAATATAATACACAAAAGAAATGATATGTTATAATCACGTGTGACATACACATTTATAAAAGAAAATTTTCCTAATCGATCAGTTTTTCAAATAGGTAAAATATTTGCAAACAACTCGAAAGATCTCAATTATCTTAGATAAAAATCATAATTAAATAATTCAAATGTTAAAATGTATTCAACGTAGAGTAACATGTGACTAGTCTAATTAAGGGTATCACTCCCACTTTTTCTACCTTGTTGGAAAATGTGAAATAAATGTCCGATTGAGTTCAAATTCATATCAGAGACAAAACATCAAAAAAGAAAATTGATGGTATTTTTAAAGTTCAGAATTTTTTGAGATATTCTTGTTATGAGTTTTCTGTGAAACCTTGATTTTTAGTCATGTACATTATAATTCTAGCAAAACTTTCATCTGATCATGCTCAAAATTTTATCACATATATCTGGGACCATATCTCACAATGTAAATTTTTGTTTTTGGCTTTTGATTTTTCCTTCGCAATAGATGAAAAAAATGATCAAAACTCTACGTAAACACCTCGGTTTTTGATTTATTAACTCAGACAAGAAAAAATAAAAATTTTCACTCTTAGCTATGATCTAAGATATCAGTAATAAAATTTTTAGTGCGATCAGATGAAGTTTCGATGGGGTCGTAATATTCATAGATTAGAACTACTACTGTTTTGCCTAGTATAAGTAGCGTAAGACAGGGCAGTTGTGGCAATGCTTATATCGTCGTAAAAATCAGTTAAAAAAATTTGTAAGTCATCTCATTATAAAGAGAACATTTTACTCTACTAGATTGAATATAAAAAGCTCTTTGACGGGATTGATAAGGGAAGAAAACTTTACGAAACCAAAAAAATGAGTTTTTTCGCCTTTCAAGCAAAAACTTAAAAAATTCATAATTTTTTCTAAAAAAGATTGTAGAACGTTGGGAGTGGTTATATTTTATAGTCCAGACTTTTCTCCACGTTAGTCTATGTTTAATTCAAAACTGGAATTTTATCGAAAAAGAGAAGGGGTATCCTTAATGGAAATGCTACAGTGGAAATTGAAATTCAATGCAATTTAAAATTTCACTACTGAAAATTAAAATTTCAATCTCCGCTAGTGCAGATTAAAATGTAAATGCCTCCATACGTGATAAAACATCGATTTTCATTGATTAACACTTTGGAGAGGAAAGTTTCCAAATTATTAGAACAAGATTACAACATCCGACGA